AAAAAAAAAAGGCAAGGTGATTTCAGGAAGAGCCACCACCACTGAACCCCTGTGAGATACTGTGTGCTGTATGTGGCATGTTATATTCATTATCTTATTTAACGGTCAACACTATATGAGGAAGGTGATATTTTTATCCCTGCTTCTTCAGGTGAGGAAACTGAGGCACAGAGAGGCTAAATACCTGGCCCAAAGTCACAGAATCTTTAGGTGAAATGGGAATGAACTGGCATTCTAAATGCCCGTCCTCTTGTCTTCATTTCCCTGTCCAAGAGCCCAACATCCTAAAATGACAGAGACTCCTGGTTGCAGATAGAAGCCAGGGCTTCCGGCCACCTTCCCTCTGGCCTCTGCAGCAGGAGCACTCAACTCCAGTCACGTGGTGAGGTCTTTTCCCAGCTCACTGTTAAGCCAGGCCAGAGAAACCCTTAAGGCATGGATGTGGAAGATTCATTTTCAAGCACCAAGGCCCCTCCCACCTGCTTTCTGTCTGGTCCAGCCAAGCTGCCTTGGGCTAAGGCCAAGGCCTGGCACCCAGAGCTCTCAGCCCTCCCCACCTTCTTCTGCCCAAAGTCCAGCAATGACTTCCCCAGATGAACCCATGATCCAGGATCAGCAGAAATCAATGAGAGACAATAGCGGGGGTGCTAAAGACAGATTGCTGGGCAGGGAACTTAGCCTCTCTGTGCCTCAGTTTCCTCATCTGTAAAATGGGAATAATACAGATGATAGTACCTCCCTCCAAAGACTTTCATGAGGATTCAAAGAGCCGATGCCGTAAAGCGCTTGGCACAGTGCCTGCCTTGGTAGTTGTGGGGGTTCTGGCGACAGGGTGCCTCCCCTAAAAAGGGGAGCTGTGTCTTGGTAGGTGCTGCCCTGGGGGTCAGGAATAAAGGGGAGCTGCCTTCCTGAGAGCAAGAATGATGCAGAGGGCGGGGTGGCTCATGCCTGTAATGCCAGCACTTAGGGAGACCAAGGCAGGAGGCTTAATTGAGGCCCTTAGTTCAAGACCAACCTGGGCAACAAAGTGAAACCCTGTCTCTATGAAAAATTAAAAAATAAGCCAGGCGTGGTTGCACGCACCTGTAGTCCCAGCTACTCAGGAAGCTGAGGCGGGAGGATTGCTTAAGCCCAGGAGGTGAAGGCTGCAGT